CCCAGGATGGGAGAAGCATGCTGAAAGTAGACTATAGACCAAACAAGATTGCCACTCAATGCCTCTTTTGCAAACCACAACACCCCGAAGGAGAGAGAGAACAAAAGGGTATGCCCTGCCACAGAGGCAGGGTGGGATGGGAGGGATGGGTGGTGGGAGGGATACTGGGATCCATGGTGGTGGGAAATGGGCACTGGTGGAGGGATGGGTATTTGATCATTGCATAATTGAAACCCAAGCACAAAAATTTGTAAGTCTACAGCTGTACCTCATGGTGTGTTACTAATAAGAAAGAAAGAAAGAAAGAAAGAAAGAAAGAAAGAAAGAAAGAAGAAAGAAAGAAAGAAAGAAAGAAAGAAAGAAAGAAAGAAAGAAAGAAAGAACTGAACAAACCAAAAAGAAAAAACCTACTCAGAGGTCAGAGAGATAACACAGTAGGTAAGACACTTGTCAAACCCAGTTCAATATCCAGCACTGCGAAAGGTTCCCCAGGCAATTCCAGGAGTAAGCCCTGAGCACAGCAAGTATGGCCCAGAACCTCACCTCCAATTCTAGTCCCCATTACTAATGAGCACTTAGGTTACTTATGGTTAGTTATGATTATTATGAACAAAGTTGTTTTTTGACAAGTCTTCTGTGGACAATGTCTTCATTTTCCTTGTGTTAATATAAAAGAATGGGATTGTTGGATGTATGGTAAGCATATATTAACTTATGCATAGATTCTTAAATTATTAAATTGAATATTATTTTATAGTAGCTGTTGTATCATAGTTGCATTTTATCACAGATTAGAGATGATTATTTTTTCTTAAATTGTTATGTGTATGTCCTAAATTAATATTGATTTTCGAAAGCTCTTTTCTAATATAGTCATGTGAAAATAGAGTTGTTATATCAGTGATGAATTATATAAATAGATAAGACTTACTGACTCATTTTGTCTTGATTTATTCAAAAATGGGCCTGAAACATATAGGTTCAAAAGCAATTGGATGTGATTTTCTTTCCTAGTAATATCTTTGTTATTGTTCTTTGTTATTGCTTCATTTAGACCACATCATTATCAACACATTATAAACTAGCTGGGTACATATTTCATACATTTAAAATTTTAACCTTTTTTAATGTCCCTTTTCTCTTTTGTTGCTGTGGTCATTGTTATGATGACCAGAAATTACACACAAAGTTGGTAGTGGTCCTCACATATTTATTTGTTTGGCTGGCATTTGTGAGTTGAGGTGATAACACACAGAGCCAGTGATTGCTGGAGACTGCACTTCTAATTGTGAGGTTTATTTTGTAGACATAATCTTAGAGGTTATATTTCCTGGTTTTGATGCCTACACCTTGCACACTGCTGTGTTTGCCAGGAGTCCCTCCCCACCCCACCCCCGCCGCATCTTTTATTTTTTTTTTGCTTTTTTGGGTCACACCCAGTGATGCTCAAGGGTTATTCTGGCTCTGCACTCAGAAATTACTCTTGACAGTGCTTAAGGGACCTTATTGGATGCCAGAGATTGAACCTAGGTCATTCGTGTGCAAGGCAAATGCCCTACCCACTTTACTATCTCTCTGGCCCAAGAGTCTCACTCCTTAAGTGCTGATGCTCGCACACATCTGGCTGTGGTGTGGACAGAAATGGCATGCAGTTTGCAAGCAACAGAACTGCCAGGCACCAACAACAAAGATTTCAGACTGTGCTTCACACATGAAGTGGCACTAGGGATCTAACTTGAATCCTTACCAACGCAAGGCAGTTTCTCTAACTCAGTGAACTAACCCAAAAGCCTCTCATGGTTTGTTTCTTTTTTTAAGAAATCATTTTCTGCTGGTTTTCCTTGAAATGGTCTATCCAAATGTCAAATGGGGTACTGTGATGATGAAGACTTTCATAATATCACTGATTAGAAATACTGATCTATTATTTGCATTTCTGAGACAGGGATAATACTATTTTAATTATCATCATAGAATTGTCTATTATTTAAGTTTTGTCCACTTTGTTTCATGTATTTTGAACATCTGTTATTATATGTACATATTTGTGGTTTGAGCTTGTCACGGCGTTTTGGTAAATAGATCGCTTTTCCCTTGTGAGAGACTCTCTTTAGAATTTATCCTAAGTAAAATAATTCCTTGATTTGAGTTTTACCCTGATGTTAAACATTTCAGCTTCCTTTTTTCATGTGTAAATGTCATTTCTTTTCTCATCCTTTAACTTTTACTCTTCTTTAATGTTCAAAAATCTTTATGCCAAAAAAATGAAAGAATCTAAAAGAAACGGATAAATTTTTGGACTCCTGTAACTTCCCAAGATTGAACCAAGAAGAAGCAGAGTGTCTGAACAGACCAATCACTACCAAGGAATCAAAAAATACTAAAATTGTAAATCAAAGCTTGTAAATCAAAAATCAAAAAGTAATAAAATTGTAATAAAAAAATCTTTACCCAAATAAAGTCCCAGGCCCAGGTGGGTTTGCTAGTGAGTTCTTCCATACCATTAAAAGTGACGTACTCTCAAACACTTTCAGGCTCTTTTAGAAAGTTGAAAAACACTGGAAAACTCCAAAATAGTTTTGTTTGCTTTGTTTTCTTTCTTTTCTTCTCTTTTTCTTTTTGTTTTGTTTTGGGTCCATGCCCGGTAATGTAAGGGGTTACTGCTGACTTCTCACGCAGAAATGACTCCTGATAGGTTCAGAGGACCATAAAGGGAGCTGATTAAACCCAGGTTGGCTGTGGGCAAGACAAGTGCTCTATTGAACTATAGCTTTCAAAGAGTTTCTATGAGGCAAATATTACCCAGATAACAAAAGAAAATATAGATATAAGAAAATGAAAATTATAAACTATATCCATGGTGAACATAGATGCAAAGATCCTCAACAAAATATTAGCAAATCAGATCCACGATACATCAAAAAAATCATATCCCATGACCAAGTAGGATTAACTCTGAGGATGCAAGGGTGGTTTAATATATGAAAGTCAATCAATGTAATACACCATATCAATACAAGGAGAAGTAGAAATTATATGATCATATCAATAGATATAAAGAAAGTATTCAACAAGATCCAACATCCACTCATGACAGAAACTCTTAATAAAACTGGAGCTGAAGAACCTATCCTCAACATAGTTGAAGACATTTACCAGAAGACCATAGCAAATATTGTACTCAATGGTGAAAAAGTGAAAGCTTTCTCTCTAATATCAGACACAAGACAACATGGCCCACTCTGCGTCCATTCCATAGAAATTAGACAAGATATATTAAGTTTAATTATTTATGTTCTCTTTAATCCATTTGTTCTGTGTTTCTTTTATACTTTTTTGTTGTCATTTGTTATGTAAATCCCCTATTTTTAATTATTCCATTTTTTATACTATCATTATTTCTCAGTTTTATGGGGTTGCTTGAAAATACACATCTTAAATATTTTAATCTACTTTAAGTAACACATTTTCCTCTTACCTCATTTTACCTCATTTACCTCAACTCTTACCATATTTTTTTACTCTTACCGCATCAGCCTTTCCCTTCCCTATAGCTAATATGGAAGCACTTAATCCATCTACTAGACCATGATCACCTTGAAGTCCTGTTCACGATGCCTGTTCCATTTTGTTAACGCCAAGTACCTTGAAAATGATAACAATGATAATACACTCAGTAAGTGCATTTATGTTAACTAAAGATTTTAATAATTTATCCTGAATACACTGTTCTCTTTCTTTATGCTTTACTGCTATTGAAGTGCTGGGAATTGATTCCCACTCTCTTGCTTGCAAGGCATATACATTACATCGAACCACTTCCCTGTCAGGTCCTGGTTTTTCTAATCTTCATTTATCCTTTATTTGCTAGTTGATCCTCCATTCACTACCCTATAGATGACGGCAGACCCAGACATCAGATTTTGTGCAGGAGGCATCAGATCTCTCATTTCTCCATGCTGAGGTAATGGTTCAGCAATCTCATCCATTCCAGAACCATCAGATGCTTCCAGTATGCTAATCATTCTAAAATTGTCCTTCCAGCCCAGACCTCTGTCTAACAGAGACACTAGAAGGATGCCCGCAGCAGCAGTCTTTATGACCTCTGCCTTTATGTCTAATGAGTGTCTCAAAATTCAGCTGCTGCTCTTCACCCCAACCTCAGGCCTGCTGTTCCAGCCTTCATCAACAGACTCATCTGTTTAGAAGAGTCACACCTACAGTCTCCTTCTGACTTTCTCACACCACAGAATCCTGTCTGGCGCAAAACATTGGTTCCAAAAATTTTGAAGCTTTGTATGTTTTCCTCAGAGGTCATGCAGCGTTAGGAGAATTGGACCCCCAAACCCCCATATTTTTATTTATTTATATTTGCTTTTTGGGTCACACTGGGCATTGCACAGGGGCTATTCCTGGCTCATGCACTCAGGAATTACTCCTAGTGGTGGTGCTCGGGGGACCATACAGGATGCTGGGAATCGAACCCGGGTTGGCTGAGTGCAAGGCAAGTGGCCTACCCACTGTGCTATTGCTCCAGCCCCAGCCCCACATTCTCGAACAGTAGATCCCATAGCAAGAAATTAAGTCAGTCTAGCTTAGGACCATCAGGCAGTTGAGTCTGAGGATAGTGGAGGAAGACACAGGAAAAATGCAAACTAGATGAACATCCAAGGTAGGGGATGCGTAGCCATCATAATGTGAGCAAGATGGGAGCCCCAAGTGTGGGGAATATCTAAGCCCTGAGAGACTTGTACTGGGAGGTCACACAGTGTAGAAAAGACCTGAGGCTCCAGTACCTAGAAGATCAGGGAAACAGAGATCTCAAATAAGCATCTTTGCTGAACAGCCTCGTATTTATTCAACTAACAAGTGCCAGGCACTGTTGAGGGCAAAAGAGAGACAATCATCAGTGTAACCTTCATGCTTTCTTGTTTCTTTTCACGCATAGCCATGGAAGATCAGTTGTTAGCAAGGAAACAAAGAAAGGGAAATTTAATTTTTTAAATAGGGAACATTTGTCAAATTTCCATGTCATCCTTAAGCAGGAGACAAGCTAAGCTTCTCTGTGTTATTTCAGTTTTACCGTGTGCGCTACTGAAAGGGGCCCAGGAGAAAAGGTTTTACAAATGAATAAAAATAAGATTTAGGAAGAAAATAAGGGTGGGGTAATAATTACAGAGAAATCCAGAGGAGGTCAATGTGAAAAAAATATTTGAGTTTAACCATGAATACTGACATGGGGTACAGCAATAGCACAGTGGGTAGGGTGTTTGCCTTGCACGCAGCCAACCAGGGTTCAATTCCTCTCAGCCTCTCGGAGTGCCCGGCAAGCTATCAAGAGTATCCCGCCCACACAGCAGAGCCTGGCAATCTTCCCGTGGCGTATTTGATAGTCCAAAAACAGTAACAACAAGTCTCACAATGGAGATGTAACTGGTGCCCGCTCGAGCAAATCCATGAACAACGGGAGGACAGTGCTATAGTCCGTGCCCCTGACATGAGGGAGCAAGAAGGGTAAAATAAATAAATGAAATGAAATGTTTTAGGAAACTTGTGTGACTGGAGAACAGGCGTGGAGGAAGAGAGGTGAAGTCATCACATGAAATGAAATCAGTGAGAGTCAGGAGCCAGAATGCAGAAAGCTTCCTTTGCCCTGGCAAGGCTTTTGTGTCCTACTCAAGAGGCAAACGAGGACCATGATATAATGGAAACTATGTAAGAATTATATCTTAGTTTATCAACTTTTACAACTTGAGCTGGATATCTGCTTGAAGTGGAAAATGGAACAACTGAACTCAGTCTTAACGCCGGTAAGCAGCATTAAGACCAAAATAAATTGCAGAAAGGAAATTAGGATAATCCTAGCTTCCTTGCAGCGGGGAAGCATTTAGTCTCAGCCGAATTTTGTTTTTATGGCTTGGTCAAAATGAAGAACCAGAAACTAAGAATTCATTCTTTATTTTTAAAAATTATGCAATGTTCTTTCATGTGTTTTGTTCTTTCTTATGAAGCCACCGTTGACATAGAGTATCAGATTAGTGTCCGGTCTACAGCATCATGATTCAATATTTGCATATATTGCAAAGTAAATGCTTCAATATTCATCCTCAAACATACATTTTCCCTTGTAATAGAAATGTTAAGATTTCCTTTTAAGCAACTTCTAAATATGCTATTATTTTTATTTGCAGGGTGGGATTAATAACACAGTGTTCAGGGATATTCCTTCATTTGTGTTAAGGAGTGGCTTTTGCTGGTGTTCGGAAGACACCATGTGTTCGGGATCAAACCAGGGTCAGCAGCATGCAAGGCAAATACTTTAACATCTGTTCTATCTCTCTGACCCCAAGCACCACTGGCTATAGATACTATGGTGTATGTCCCATCCCCATGACTTTATTTATTTATCTAATATTTGGGAGTGGAAGTTCCCAAGCAATGTTCAGTTTGTTCAGGACTTGCTCGCATAGATTTTCAGCTAACTGGACTGGTTGGTTCATTGGAATGAGTCAAGATTGCAGTGTTGGCTGGTGCACTGCAATGCTAGTACCACAAAGCCAACCCTGGCAGTACTTGGTTGGTTGGTATGGGGTGGAGATGTGTTGCCAGGAGAGAGACTGGGATATGTACCCTACTTTCTCCCCACCCCCCAAAGACTTTATTATTTCATAGCTGGAAGTTTGGACTCTTTGAGTCACTTAATCATTTTGCCAAACCCCAACACACATCTCATACCATTTTCACACACTGCCCTTTTTGTTTCTTTGTTTGCTTTTTGGGTTTAGATTTCATACATAGTGAGATCAACCCAGCTCCCAGAAGAGAACAGCGCAGAATCTCCTGCCCCCACGCCTGGCTGTCCTCGCTGGGGCCCCTTGCAGGGGAGTGGGCTGAGTTTCCCTCCCGGCCCCGACCAGGGCTCTGGCAGCTGAAGACCTCCAGAACCAACCACCATCATGCTGAGACCACTCTCCACACGCATGAAGATACCAGCAGAGGAACAAAGGCATGCGGGTCCCGTGGCTGAGATCTCCAAGCCTGTTCAAATGGGGGCTGAGCATCCTCCACCCAGATCCTCCATCTTCCAGCAGGCAGGGGTCACACCCACCAACTGGCCCCCTGGTGCCGTGTAATTCCATCAATGGTCGAGACCCAGAGACTATAAAACCCAGCTCCCGGAAGCGCGCAGATGCAAATGCAAATGCGGCCGCGCAACATCTTCTTATCTCATTCTTACTTTGGACAAACTCTCAGGCTACCAAATGTAACCTGCCCACATGGCAGAGTCTGGCAAACTCCCCGTGGCGTACCCAATATGCCAAATACCAGTAACAATGATGGGTTTCATTCTCCTAACGCTGAAAGAGCCTTGAATGTGGCACTTTAAAAAAAATCTCAGGGCTAGGGCGAAGGAGACGTTACTGGGGCCTGCTTGAGGCAATCGACGAACAACAGGATGGTCGTGATCATGATCGTGATCGTGATCGTGTTTGCTTTTTGGGTTTAGATTTCATACATAGTGAGATCAATCAATAATTGTCTTTCTTTGACTTGCTTAACTTAGACTAATATCCTTAGGGTCCATTAATGTCACCACAAATGGTAATATTTCAGTATTTTAGTGGCTAAATGATATTCACAAAATAATGGTGCAGATATCTATGGATAATATGTGTGCCATGGTTTAAATCCAGGAATTCCATTTATTAGTGATGATACTTACCAATGATAAATAAATTGTTTATGCTAAGTATTGACTTTGTAGTTGTTGACATATACATATACAAAACTGATTTAGGTGCAAGAAAACCCCTCGCTATCTTAGGAGAAGAAAAGATGATTTACTCTTCAACTAATATGGCTATAACATAGCATCAAAGTTGTGCCGATGTGAGGTAGATCTCTACTCTAAAGTGGTTATGTCTCTCTCTCTTTCTCTCTTTTTATCTCCCTCTCTCTCTTTCCCTCTCTCACTCTCTTTCCCTCTCTTTCTCTCTCCCTCTCTCTTTCCCTCTCTCTCCCTCTTTCTTTCCTTCTCTCTTTTTTCTCTCCCTCTCTTTTTCTTTTTCTTTTTTTTTTATTAGTGAAACACCATGAGGTACAGTTGTAGATTTACAATTTTTTGTGCTTGGGTTTGATTATACAATGATCAGATACCCATCCCTCCACCAGTGCCCATTTTCCACCACCATGGATAATATCCCCCCCACCCCATCCCCCCATCCCCCCCTGCCTCTGTGGCAGGGCAATCCCCTGTGTTCTCTCTCTCCTTTTGGGTGTTGTGGTCTGCAAAAGAGGCATTGAGTGGCAAACATGTTCAGTCCATAGTCTACTTTCGACATGCATCTCCCCTCCTGGGTGGATCCTCCAAACACCCTTTATTTGGTGTTCCCTTCTCTATCTGAGCTGCCCTTTCCTCTAGAATGCCCGACTGGCCACTAAGCTATGGAGTAATCCTCATGGTGCTGATCTCAGCTATTCTTGTCTCCCTCTCTTTTTCTCTCTCCCTCTCTTTCTTTCCCTCTCTCTGCCTTTCCCTCTCTCTCTTTCTCTCCCTCTCTTCCTCTCTTTCCCTCTCTCTCCCCTTCTTTTCCCCTCTCCCTGTCTCTCTTCCTCTTTCTTTCTCTCTCTCTCCCTCTCTCTCTCCCCCTCCCTCCCCCTCACCCTTCCTTTTCTCTAGTCTCCCTCCCCAAGCAAAAACTAAATCTGTCAAGCTGAAGGACCAACTTGTGCCTGTCACAAAGTTTAATTCTGGTAGGAAAAACAACAGCTAGAATGCAACTCTTGATAGCAGAATTATTTTGCTGCTGCTTTAAAATGCTGTTTCAAATTACACAGATTCAATATTCTCATTTTTTTCTCTTCAGTTTGTAATTAACATTAGGATTCTATCAACAACAAAACTTTAGCCAATTATGCTACTGAGTGCTGTGTGTAAAAAAAATTACAGATGGCAAATCTACTTTGTGAATATCTTCTACAAAAATAAAATAGTTAAGTTTGTTTGATAAAGACACAAAAAATTAGAGCAAACGAATTTGAGGTTTGTTTCTGACTTAGCTTTGGTCAGTTGCACACAAGAAATCTGGAAGGAGAAACTATAGTGCTTTCCTTTTTGTGAAGGTTCCCAAACATAGGTAATTTGTTTCCTGAATAACCTTCAAAATGCTCTAATTTTCACTAGATAGGACTTGGCTAAATAAAATTTGACCTTTAATTGAGGCCTCTTGTTCAAATACTTTTCTTACTCCTTATTTCTTTTTAGATTGTAAATTTTTTTTGACTAAGAGATTTTTTTAAAGACTTGGTTTCTATTAGACATCAGTATCTGCAGAGGCCACACAACTTAATATATTCAAAATCTCAATCCTCTGACTCATCAGAAAGAATCAAAATATAATATACTGACATCAACCATGGCTGTTTAAAAGATTCCCCTCCACAGCTCTACAAGCTTTTTTTCCTAGAAACTCATTGCTCCTGTCAACCCATAACTGTTCTTCAAAAGATTAAATAAAAAGAAACAAACAAAACATGAGAGAGAACTGTGTAGAAGACTTGGAGTATCTGTGTCATGTAGGAACACATTTAATGATAACGTGTTGAAAGTTCTTGTGTGAACATTTGTATGCACATGTGTGCAAATGCTCAATTTCATGCATTTATCGCGTCATAAATTTGACTAGCTCTCAAAAAATACTCTTCATTGTTTACTCAAATATAATCTAATAAAGCTATCCTGGAAGTAATTTAACTACCTATGGATATTGTGCTAAAAGATTCATTACTAATGGGTTGGATATCTAACAGCAAAGGGCTGAACACATACTTTGTTTGATGGAGGGCCATGTTTGATACCTGACATCAAGTGGTCCCCTCAGCACTTCAGAAGTGACCATTGAGTCCTGTCAGGTATAGACTCAATGGCAGCAACAACAAAATAAAATATAAAGGTAATGTTTATAAAGTAACAAAATGGGAGACTAACACCCAAGAATGCCCGAGATTAGTACCGGAAATTTTGCTCCATGGCTTAGAGGCCAACCACATATGCTAGGGGAAAAGGGAGCTCAGATAGAGAAGGGAGCACCAAATAAAGGGCGTT